GCACAGACAACAAGTCATAAAAACCACTTTGGCAATTTGGCACTGACCATCGCCACGCACTGAACTTGAGCCACTTGCTGTAACTGTTGCGTGTTGCGTGGCAGTGACAATTGCGTAGTGGTTGGCTGGTGGTGCGTGCCGCCAGACAAACAAGCAGACAAACATGAACCACGAACAGTTTTCACGGTCAACTTGGCTAGAGGAAAAACTGACTGAAAAGCAAAGACATAAATGTTGTTGTTACTGCTGCAGCTGTTGTTGTTGTTGTTGTTGTTGTTGCTGTGGTTGCTGTTGTTGTTGTTGGGTGTGTTGCAAGTGGCAGACGCTGGATAAGTGGCCAACCCACTGGCCAAGTGCCCAACTGGCCAACTGCTGCGACAGCTGACGTCGGCCAGCGATTCGCTTTTGACTGGTTTTCGTTGTAGTTGTTTTTTAATGGGCTGAACGGAAAAACTGTAAACGAAAGCAATGTGGTTGCTGTGGTTGTTGTTGTTGTTGCTGCTGTTGTGTTTATTGTTGCTGTTTGTCTGGCTGTTGAATCAGCTGCAGCAGCCCGTCAACCCGCCTGCACCACTCGGACATTCGGGTGAGTCGCCGTCGGCAGGCTTTTCTTAACGATGCAAAAAAAATTATTATTATTGTATTTTCTGCACTTTTGGAGTTTTGAATTTGGATCTAGCATAGCCAAGTGTGTGAGTGTGTGCGTGTGTGTGTGTGTCAGCTTTTGTGTATAAAAGCTGTCGCGAATTTACAGCTAGCAACAGTAACCAGCGACGAGTCAACACAGACCCACAGTTCATTTCTAAAGCCAAGTAACTAACTCCCAGGATTAGCTAAAATGTACAAGTTGGTAAGTGTCTAAGCCACGTCGAGGASTGCTGCARTCGCGTAACTCCCAAAACTGCTCGCTTTCAGGTGGTGTTGTCTGCTCTGCTCGCTGTGGCCGCTGCCCGTCCCGGCTACTTGGAGGCAGGTCCTCTGCTGCATAGCTATGCCGCGCCAGCGATCATCCATGAGCCCGCCCTGGCCAGCGTTGGCCACATTGTGAAGTCCATTCCGACCGCCGTCTCGCATCAGAGCATCAGCCAGGTGCACAGCTCGGCGCAGATTGTCCAGCCGATTGTGGCGCCCGTTGTGAAGACCTATGCCGCGCCCATCATCAAGACCTATGCCGCTCCAGCTCTGCACACCAGCATCCTGTCGCCTTCCTGGGCCTCTCACGGCTGGGCGTCGTCCTGGTAGACGGCTTCAACATCGGCTCTGATCGGAGTGCTGCTTCAGCAGATGAGACATCTCTTGGCTGAAGCCACGCAACAATTTCTATCGTATCTTCTACTTAGTGTTTCCCCATCCCCCCTTCCGACTGATGTAAATAAAAGTTCATATTTTCACAATCAAATCTTCTGTGTTGTTTGTGGGAGCCTAGTGGGGGATATTAACTTATAATATATAACATATAAATATTACTTTTGGTTCAGTTTTTAGCTCTGAAGTAGGACTTGTTTTGGAATATGATTTCAGTTCAATAAGTCTGAAATAAATTTTCAATTTTTATTTAAAATATGTAGTTGAACTCATCATACAGGTGATCTTTATGAATCCGTTTGAAGTTGTGCTACTCCATGAATAAAACTATATCTTTGGAACACTATCATAAAACTCTTAGATAAGTTTCGATTTCTAGATTAATTTTGGCGCTATGACTTTTTGAATAATATACTACAAGATAATATAAGTATTTCAAAAGTAATCGCTTTACTATTAAGTATGTGCACATTGTAGGACAGACTAGCGATCGTCATAGAGAGAGGTATAACTGGTTAACATAGTTATAGCTAAGCATAAACTATTTAACTACCGTGCGAATTGTGATATAAATTTTTAAAGAGTCTACTTAATTTACTTATTTCAACTGAAATAATTAAGTACGGTACACAAAACTTGGCAAACAAGGCAAAGAGTATACTACTCAGAGATACCATAGGAATAGATGTGAAGTGTTAGCGTTCGACACTCTCAAGCACTTATAATGAGTTTTTTTAGGTGAGAATATATAGATGATGATTTTCGATTATTTCTTCAAAAATACAAATGCTTGCTAAACGATACTCTTTAATCAGATATCAGATAGACCTGGAATCTTTTATTTCCAGATACTAAAGTTCTCTTTATCGCTGCAAATGTAGAGTTATAAATAGCTATAAATAGAAAATGGGAATTAAACTTACATTCTTATAATATATATATTTGCATCCGAATCTTAGTAAAGTTGATGGTTTATTTAAGCTACCCTCGCACACTCGAGCTTAGTATTCTACTGTAAACTACGTTGTTTTCAAACTAAAAGCTAAATGAGAATTGTTTAATCTCCGAAACTTAGATTACCATCATCACTAAACTATTCCACACTAGGCAACAGCTATTCTCAGACTTCACTTTTTAACGCTTGCACCTTAATAAACCACATTAATGATGACAAGAAAAAAATATTCATAGCATACCCTTTGCAAGTTGAGAGTTTATAGCTACGTAAAACTGCCACTGAACGTCTCGCTGCGCACGTAGCTGAAAGCCAAATGGAAACTGTAATTGAATTTGAAATTGAAGTTGAAGTCCAAACCTTGCGCCGCTGACCCTGAAAGAACCGAGACGCACTTAAAGTGCAAGTAATGCAACTGAGGGCAGGAGCTAATGAAGGGCCAGTGGAGCAGTTGGCCAATGGTCGACACGTAAACTGGTTGGCTAGCTTTGCCAATTGTTGTGCTTGGCTCTGCGGCTGAGCAGAGTTGAGCCGTCCACCGACGCTAATTGCTTATTGAATGTCAGTGAGAATTGAATCTGATATGGTCTCTTTTTTTAATGTTTTTCTTTTCGTTGTTGTGCGTGTGTATGAAGGCCGTGCGTGAAGTACCGACTGCTGCTGCTATATAAACACCGCCTGCAGTTGGCATATCACACACAGTTCTCGCTAGAAACTCAAGCCCAACAGTCAATACAGACCTCACTTAAACCCAAAAATCATTTCAATCATGTTCAAGTTGGTGGTATTGTCTGCTCTGCTCGCCGTAGCTGCTGCTCGTCCCGGTAATCTGTATGAGTCGCCGTTGGTYTACGCCGCACCCGCTGCGACCGTCGTCCAGGAGTCGGTCCTGGCCAAGGTTGGCTCCGTTGTGAAGAGTGTGCCCACATCTGTCTCCCATCAGAGCCAGTCGGTGGTGCACAGCTCCGCTCATGTGGTTGAGGATATCGTCGCTCCAGTTGTCAAGTCAACGCCCGTGGTCAGCTATGCCGCCGCTGCTCCAGTGGTGCACACCTCCTATGCTGCTGCTCCAGTCGTGCACACCACATATGCCGCTGCTGCTCCAGTGGTGCACCAAACGTATGTCGCTGCACCAGTTGCCAAAATCGCTGCTGCCTCACCGCTGACCTACACCGCCACCGGAGTGTGGTAAGGAAGCCCCACTGCACCACTCAAAGACCGATAGTGGAACGTGCATTTTGTTGGACGGTTTTGTGATACGAATTTGAATAAATAAATAAATATTTTTGCCTTGAATATCGATTGAGTCTCATTTMCTATGCAATCTCCTTCATYTGTGTCCTTGCTATAGTTCCTTGGCCTCTGGTTGGGTCTTTATCCTGTGGTGCACTTCCTCTGAACTAGCAGTGCCTAGCTGTGAGTAAACAGTCGTATACGTAATGCGTATACGTAATACGTTGTAAACAAGTGGCGATAAATAGTTGTTGATTACCCAACTACGATATACTTGTACTAAACTCTCCTCAAATGTTGCGTAGCTATTTAGGATTGTTAGTTAGTTAAAGGAACTAAATATATATATTCAATATTCTTATTTTAATGTATATTAAATATATGATCTCCATGTAATTTAATTGTTAATCTATCAGATATCTATATTATATTTTTCATATACCAATAAAAATCTTCTAGAACAGTTTCCASCAAATCAGAAATCTTSCTSTGCAATTTAAATTTACAGTTGCCAAATTCTGCTCAACTTTGTTGTGATTGGCTCTGCCTGCTGCATTAGTATTAGTGAGAGGCGAGAGTCGTGTAAAAATATTATCT